CTTACCCACCTCACCCCCCCTAAATCTAACATTCCCCTCATTTTACACAGTTTTATTAATTCCATTTTTATTAATTTATTATGTTTTTTTTATTATGTTTGTATGAGTTTGTATGATATTAAGTGTTTAAGTGACATTTTAATTGAAATATAATGTAACTAAGCAATTTGGAGTGTAATTATTAGACAAATATTAGTTTTGCCCAATAACTCCCGTTTCCTGTGTGTCTGATGGGTTTTCTTTGGCCTTTAACTCAGAGTCAAGTGGCTTTTAAAAGAAAAACGGTGCTGAAAACAAAAGAAAAACTCAAAAACATGCAAAGAAAAACCCCAAAAGATGCTCCCCCTCAAAGATTCAGCCAATCAGAAGCCAGAAAATGTCCAGAAACTGGTGGTAAACAACACTAAAAAGCTCTGAGTCCAGTTTGAAGGTCCAAATCCAGCTAAATCTGATCATTACCAGCTGATGCTAAGTGTTTTGGTGACATTTTAATTGAAATGTGACGTAACTAAGCAATCTGGAGGGTAAATATTAGGAAAATATTTGTTTTTATGTCACTTCCTACAGATGTCCGACAAACAATAGGAAGGAAGAGGCTCAAGGCTGTTGTGATATAATGATTCAAACCAAGAATTATAAAGTTGGTCAGCTCTTAGAGTTCTCATGAAGAGGTGGAAACACTTCAGCCTGACTTTACACACACAAAAAAGGATAGAAATAATAATTAAAAAGGTTGAAAACTGTGTTGCTTATCTGAAACTCTAATCAAAGGAACTGATTACTGTAAGAAAATGATATAAAACTGCTTTAAGTATTACAGTAGACCAACTAGCTTGTTTTTATTTCTTTATAAAGAACATTTTCATCTTGCAATACAGTTAAAAGTGTGTGTACATGTAGGATGGATTTAATTTAGAGAGAAATTCACAGTTTGAAGTGTCTAATCTAGAAATTGAGTAAATATTATTTCAGATAACAGCTCTGAAAAGTGACTCAAAAGTGCAAATGCAGGATTACGGTCTAAAGACCCATCATTTGTGCCTTGTAGTATAAAAAAGAGGGAGAATTAAGGTTAATTTACAGTTAAAAACTGTGATTCCTGCCAAAGAAGATGAGTTTTAGGGTAAAAAAGAGGAAATCCAGCCTCTAACAAACCACCTCTTCCAGCTTCAGAGGAATATAAAACTGCTTTAAGTATTACAGTAGACCAACTAGCATCTTTTTATTTCTTTATAAAGAACATTTTCATCTTGCAATACAGTTAAAGGTGTGTGTTCATG